TTTTTTTTTTTTGTCGGTCGTGAGCCTTGAACTCTGGGCACCTGAGTGCTGTCCCTCAGCTCTTCAGCTCAAGGCTTGAGCTCTACCACTTGAGCTACAGCGCTGCTTCCGGTTTTCTGATGGTTTATTGGAGATAGGAGTCTTACTGTCTTTCTTGCGGTCTTTCCTGCCGGGCTGGCTTTGAACCAAGATCCTCAGATCTCAGCCTCTTGAGTAGATAGGATGACAGGCGAGAGCCACCAGCGTCCGGCTCATGAGACTCTATCTCCACTCAGCCACCAAAAAGCTGGAAGTAGAGCTGTGGCTCAAAAGGTAGAATACTAACCTTGAGCAAAAAATCCTTAGGACAATGACCAGATCCTGATTCAAGCCCCTGTACCAGCACACACACACACAAATTGACTTTAAAATTCTGTTTGCGATACTTTTAGAATTTAGCATATGTCATATAATAGTGCTACTATAATAATTTGGAATATCTTGTTTTGACCTTATAATATTCTTTGTGGCAGTTTCCATTGCCCTACGTGGTTTTGTATGCTACACACCAGGAAAACAAGCGGCTTTTTGGATTTGTCCTTCGAACATCAGGAGGGAGGAGTGAAAGTAATCTGTCCTCAGTCTGCTATATATTTGAATCAAACAACGAGGGAGAAAAGGTATCTCATTTTTCAAAATGTTCTGATTGTTGTAGTCACAGAGTTTACTAATATTTCTAGAAAAAGTTTCTGCTAGTCCCATTGAACTGCTTGGCCAAAGCATGTTTCTGTGAAGGGAAGTAAGAATAATTTATACTGGGAATAAAATATATTCCCATAATCAGTTATTTTCAGGTGTCATTAGCTTATAGCATCATCAGCAGCTATTTCTTTCACTCTTGGCAGGTCTTACTATCTATCTTAGTAGTGAATATGACACAATGAGAAATAGGGCATATAGGAGAGAGAGTAGTAGACGACAGACTCCAAAGAAAATACACAGAGGCTTGGTTTCTGGGATTGGAGCATCCTCAAGTTAGCCTTTATTTGAAACAGTGTATTATGTTCAGTTATGAACATAACTGGATACTTGAAGTTTTTGTTTTGGATGTAGTTTTTCATACTGTTTTCCTTCCTTAGATTTGTGATGCTGTTGGACTGGCAAAACAGATAGCTTTGCATGCTGAACTGGTAAGAATACAAGAGATACTTAAAACTTCTAAGAATGTTAGCTAAAATAGTATAAACTCATATTAGCAAGTAAATAAAATTACTTTTCTAAGCAAGGTTAATCATATATGATTAAATAGATGCTATTACCAATATGGCATTTAGAATCAATAGCTGCTCCCTTCATTCTTTGCAAGCTTTACTATTTCAGAGGTGAATTTGAGATAGTGAGAAGAGGGCACATGAAGGAAGTATACATGAGGAAGAGGACACATGAAGGCCACTAGTGCAGGTTCACAGACTCAGAAGTAAATACATAGAGGCTTGGTTTCTAGGATTTGAGCTTTTTTTTTTTTTGGTCGGCTGTGGGGCTTGAACTCTGGGCCTGGGCACTGTCCCTCAGCTTTTCAGCTCAAGGTGAGCGCTCTACCACTTGAGCTACAGCGCCACTTCCAGTTTTCTGGTGGTTTTATTGGAGATAGGAGTCTCAAGGTCTCTCCTGCTCGGGCTGGCTTTGAACCGAGATCCTCGGATCTCAGCCTCCTGAGTAGCTAGGATTACAGGCGTGAGCCACCAGCGCCCAGCGATTGGAGCATTTTTTAATCAGCTTTTATTCATTCATTTAACTTTTTGTGCTAATCCTGGGGCTTTTAGATTCAGGGCCAGAGTGCTGTTCTCTAGTTCTCTCCTACCCCCTCAAGGCTAGCGCTCTTGAGCCACAGTTTCACTTCTGGCCTTTTTAGTAGTATCTGGAGATAAGTATCTCATGGGCTTCTCTGCTCAGGATGGCTTTGAACCACAATCTTCAGATCTTATCTTCCTGAGTGGCTAGAATTACAGGTTAGTTGTATCAGCCTTTGGGTACTTGAAATGTCTACCACAGAATGAAAATTATTGGTGAACCTTTTAATGTGTAAGTGTCAAAAATTGAAAGGTTACAATTAATTAAAAATTTAAAAATTAATTTTAATTAAAAATGTAAAGTTCTTTTATATTAATTCATTAGTGTTGTTATTTAGGATCGGAGGGCATCAGAAAAACAAAAAGAAATAGAGAGAGTAAAAGAGAAGCAACAGAAAGAGCTCAGTAAACAAAAACAGATTGAAAAGGTATGTATACCTTAATATCTGGATCTTCTCTGTTTGTGGTGTTTGACAGGATTTCACTGTGTCTTTCAGATTTGAGTTCCAAATGAAGGTGTTCTTTCTGCATTCTTAGCCTCTTTATAACCAGCTGATTTGTAGCATAGCAGAAGAGTATAACACCTGAATTATATGGCAGGTGTATTGACACAGTGTGACTTCCTGTTAAGCAAATATACTAGAACTTTCATATTCTGTAGAAGGTTGTACTTGCCAAAGTAGTTCCTTTGAGAGACTCTGTAGGCTTAATTGCTAATGCCAAAAGCCATATTGATGTCTACAGGGAAAATAATTTATAAGTGTATTTAATTTGTAAATTTCCTGAGTGTAAAGTACTGTATATATGTGTATACATGTATGGAGATCAGAACTACAAAAGGAAGCAATTATTTATTTTTGTCAGTCGTGGGGCTTGAACTCTGAGCCTGGGCACTGTCCCTGAGCTCTTCAGCTCAAACTGAGCATTCCACTGTGTGAGCCACAGCACCACTTCCGATTTTCCAGTGGTTTATTGGAGATAAGAGTCTCACTGACTTTCCTGCCCGGGCTGGCTTTTTGAACCATGATCCTCAGATTTCGGCCTCCTGAGTAGCTAGGATTACAAGCAATGGAAGCAATGATTAAGCTGCACAATTTTCAGAGCCAAATGTTGATTAGGTGATCCCTGAGATTATGGGAGGCAATATTGACAGTATGAATAGAAAAGAGGAGACAGCTATGGTATATCTGTAGGAATTGGCATTGGGTTGGATGTGTATATATATATATATATATATATATATATATATATATACACACACAAAGAAAGGGAAATGGCAAAGATGACACTGAAGTCAGGCTTCTTTTATAGGCTTGACTTGATGTAGCAAACTGAATTGGACAAGGATAGGAAAGAGTATCTGGAGGTCATTACAAAGCTTTCACTTATAGGGAGAGAAAAGGACAGCCTGGGGAAAAAAAGAAAAAGGTTTTAGTCTGAATGTTGGCTTTTCTAAGACTTTTAGAATGATACCCAAATTCATCAAAATTGGTTTGGTTCAAGTTGCCAGAATTATGCACACATATTTATGATTAAAATTACTCTCAAGAATGGATTTTAGCTGCATAATTTTCTGTTTGACTGACAGTGAACAGTTTCTTTTCTGTCATTAGGACTTGGAAGAACAAAGTCGGTTGATAGCTGCTTCAAGTAGACCAAATCAAGCCAATACTGAGGGACAATTTATTGTCCTTAGTAGTAGCCAGTCAGAAGAGAGTGATTTGGGAGAAGAAGGAAAGAAGAAAGAGTCAGAAGCGTAAACCTGTTCTTGCTTTTTGATTCACCACCAAATTCGACAATTTCGGTGGTGAAATTGCATGAGGTAACAACTGTGTTGATATTTCAAGGAGACTAAGCTTTATATTTGCTTGTTTTAGCTTTATTTTAAAAACATTGAACTTGATAACTTAGTGTTTACATTGTTTTGTCTGCAGAAATACACTGTGCATTAACATTAAATTCAACATGTCTACAGAAAACATGCTTTTATCCCTGAGGTAGATTGCTGAGGAATTATACTTAGGCATTTTTTCTTTTAAATTGTGAACATTTTATCTTGCATTTTAATGGATTGTATCAGGTTCAGATATTTATGGCTATTTTCTCCCTCCTTTCCTTTCATTAGGAACACTTTACTAGTGAGAAAATGTTTAACTCAATAAGTTTAAAACATTTTCATAAAAAATTATATAAATTTGCAGCTATTTTAACTATATTAAATATGAAGGAGAATTTGTATAAAATCATTAGAACAGAGGTTTTAGTAAGTTTTAAATCTTAAGTACGTTTTCAGTTAAGACAGGTAGTACTATTGATTTCAGAGTACCTTCTTGGATTGCACCCATTTTTCTAATGAACTACATGAGAGCCTTCAGGAAAAAAGCCTTTGGCATTTTGTTACCATATTCTTAGTTCTTAGGTTGGGACTTCAGTTATTGCTGCAGAGCAGTAATGGCTTGAAAAGATTTCAGAATTCACTCAAAGATTTTTGGGTTGTTATTCAAATACAGTTCAGATTAGGATTGACATGTAAAGATACCATTACAGAATGAGACTTTGTATTTTTTACATTGTGTAAAATAATTTTTACTTGATAATCATGTGACATTTCAAATGAAGTTCATTTAACGTGTTTGCTGCTTAAGGTAAAAATTTGCAGTTTAGTGTAGAAAATGTAATCCTTTAAATCTCAAATTGATATTCCAGTATTTTCATAATCTCATTTTAATAATGTATCGAATCACCACTTTATATCTACAAGGCAGATCACTAATTTATGAGCATAGAATAATTTGCACTAATTATTGTAAATGTAATTTTCAAAGGAGTAAGAAGGTCTAATTCCATGAAAGAGTAAAATGAAATTGAATGCCTGATACATTATAGGATAGGTTGAGCAAGAAATGATATTAGCCTGTGCCAAGGTTAAAATGTCATTTCTCTACTGTCTATCTTGTTTGTAAAAGCTTGATTCATTATTTTTTACTCAGATTTTAAATGTTGCTGATAGAAATTATGTTTATGTGTTCTACATGAAAGTATATGAGAAAAAGAGAGCACATGTGTGTATATGTATATATACTCACATTAAATATTTTGAGCAAAATATTTTAAATAGCCATGAGGCTAATAACTGACTAACTTTACAAGGGATATGAAGTTTTTTCTTCATAGTTGTGAGTTAGAAACATCATCTATTTTAGTTCTCAAAATATAGCTTTGTTGTTTAACATTGTGTATATATTGTTTTCTGTAGGAGAGGGATAATTATATATAGGATCTTGTATTATTTTTATCCATGTGTCAAATGGGGTAATGATTACTAAATATTTTTGAAGCCTTATGTTAACATATAGCAAACAAGTAGAAATTTAGAAAATACTTTTTAATTAAAAGCATATTTTGTGCTTACCGAAATGGAATGTTTTTGCAGTAGTCTATTTAATATTTCCTTTTATTGAAGTTGACATTTGTCAACTTAGACATTAGAGGCTTTTTTTTGGGGGGGGTCTGGTCGTGGGGCCTGAACTCTGGGCCTGGGTGCTGTCCCTCAGCTCTTCACCTCAAGGCTAGCGCTCTACCACTTGAGCCACAGTGCCACTTCCGGCTTTCTTTTCTTTTCTTTCTTTCTTTTTTTT